TGCTTTCCATCCCAAAGCGTTATTTTAATTTAGTTTAATTTTACTGAAATTTAAACCTAATAAAACAACCTTGGACTGGTTAAGGTAGTGAACAAGGCTAAAATCCTGAGTCTTCCCTAGGTTTTCCCAGTACAGCCATTACTCCATAAACATTAAGAATGTCTTGGATTCCCTCTTCAGTCTGGCATGAGGAGAAGATGAATCTGCTGTCAACTTACTCTCCACAGAATCCCAAGGATCAAGGGAAGGGATTATACAAACACAGTTTTGATTTAGAGAGAAGGCTGTTTGAAACCATCCAGAGAACAACTCACTACATCATCTCCCTTCCCCTCCCTCTTTTCTCCTGCCCAAATGAGTCTTTGCCTTGTCTTGGCATGGGAAGGGAGGCAGTGTCTACAGGATATGGGCACACTTTGAAAAGTAATAATTCTTCCTGATCCTCCATAAAGGACCTCAAAGCCTTCAGGCATTCCTGCAGAATCACATCTGCTTGGTGTGGGATGGATTAGGGGTAAAAAGCAAGGCCAGGTTGTTCTCTTCCTCCTCCCTTGATAAGAGCAAAGAAGATCACATCTCTCCACTCCCCCCTTTCTTACTTCAGTGAAAAGGCTGAGGCGCCCTTCTAAGAACACTGGAGTAAGAGTCATCAGCTTCAGGCAGTACATACTACTGGGCAGTCTTTAGCCGTGCCGTTCCCCACTGCAATGGGGCGGCAGGATAATGACAGCAGGGAGGGATGTGGAATGGAAGGTGCCTGCTGGGCAGGTAAACAGACACCATGCTAAATGTGCCACTTGTGGGTCCTCAATGGCATTTCATCAACCCTCCCAGCAAGATCCTATATATATAAGTCTGGCACCCTTGAACAGGGTTAGTCCATGTTTTCTCCACCATAAGCATTCATGGACTGTAGCCCATCTCTTCAGGTACATAGAATCATGGAGTTGGAAGGGGCCTCTAAGGCCATCGAGTCCAACCCCCTGCTCAGTGAAGGAATCTGAATCCAAGCAGATCTGACAGAGGTTTGTCTAATTTTATCTCTTGAAGGCCTCCAGTGTTGGAGCACCCACCACCTCTCGAAGACGTTGGTTCCCCTGTCGCACTGCTCTGACAGTTAAGAAGCTCTATCAGTTTTCCCTGATATTCAGCGTAAATCTGGCTTCCTTTAATTTGAGCCCATTGGTTGCGTGTCCTGCACTCTGGGATGATCATGAACAGATCCTGCCCCTCCTCTGTAGGACTGCCTTTCAAGTCTTTGAAAAGGGCTATCCTATCTCCCCTCAGGCTTCTTTTCACAAAGATGCCCGCTGCTTTCAGCCTTTCCCCACAGGTCTCGGTTCCCAGTCCCCTGGCCATCCTTCTTGCCCTCCCCTCTGAATTTGCTCCAGTTTGTCGACATCCTTCTTCAAGTGTGTTGTCAAGAACTGGACACAAGACTCAAGATGAGGCCTAACCAGTGCTGAACAGAGGGGGACTAGTACCTCACAGGATTTGGAGGCTATACTTCCGTTAATGCGTCCTAAAATCACATTTGTCTTTTTTACAGCCAAATCCCACGTTTGACTCATATTTAGCTTTTGACCTCCGACAATTCCAAGATCCCTCTGACTCGTAGTTTTACTGAGCCAAATCTATTCCGTCTTGTAACTGTGCATTTGTTATTCCCCCACCTCCCTGACGCCTTAGGTAGAGAACTTTGCACTTATCCCGGTTCAGTTTCATTCTGTCGAAAAGGCCACTGTTTTCCGCCCGTGGCCTCTCCGATTAAAAGGACTCAAGGCTCCAGATGTCAAGTCCCTCCAAGAGATTTTGGAAAGCTGTTGTCAGTGAGAGTTGTCCGTTTGGGGTTTGGGTGTGCCAGTGTGGCTGGGGGATGATGGAAATTGTGATCTCACACACCTGGCTGGGGTGAGCTGGATTCGTAGCTCTGTACAGTATAAGGGAATTATTGGCATTCTGTTAACCAAAGCTAAGAGCTTCTTCAGAAACACTGGTTGGGGTTTAGCATCCACCACCATCATGATATTCCACCCTGCCTTTGACAGCCGCTGCCTGTGGGTCTGTTTTGAATCAGCAGATAAGGGACAGGACATAAAAAGGATCAGCCCCCAAAGATACCAGCCCACTAGGATAAAGCCATGATTAGGTTTTTCCTTATCTAAGCTCAGGGCTTTCTTAAGGACAGAAATATGGACTGAGGAGAGATGGCTGGAAATCAGTTCACATAAGAGGTGAAGAGGTCTTTGGCCCTGCCATGCACACACACACCCTCAACAGTGCTTCGTCGTTTCCAGCAGGGAGAAGCGCCAGACCCCTAACGCATCATGGCAACCCAGAACACCCCAGAGGGAAAGACCCTTTATTTTGGCTGTCAAGTTTCACATGGCATGAGAGAAGAAACAGTTAAGCAGCAGAGCAGGAAAAACAAATAAAAACGAACAACTAGTCTTTGCTGAGAGCATTACATTCCAGACCATCACCATCATAATATGGGCCATCAAGTCAGTTGCGCATTTCAAATTTTTCCAGCTAGAGCCTCCTCCAACGCGGCTTGCTTTTCCCTTCTTCTGGGGCTTGCAAAAGCTACCTAATGGGCCTCCGCCACCAGTTATTCCAAGGAAAAGGGATCGACCACCTCCCCCCAATCTGCACACGATGCTCTGCTCCCCACGGTGGGACCCCACCAGGATGGAGGACGTCCAGCAGGGAAATAAATACACAGATGTCAAAGAGCAGGTCTACATGTTGTCACTGGAAAGGGGCCTCTTCAACTCTCTCCTTTTTTAAATTGTTTATTTATTTAAAATATGTTTATCCCACCTATCTCCTTAAAAGGAGCCAAGGGAGCTGGTAGATGTTATGCTTTGCCTTTTGAGAGGCTAGATCTCATGCAGAGGGCGCATGAAACAAAAGTGGGTCCTTCTCACGGACATGCCACAGCACAGCAGTCTGTTCGGGCTGGCTTGGCTGGAGACGGATGCTAAAGATGCTAAAGTACTCAGGAATATGATGCTTGAAGGGTCGCCTTCTTTGGTAAGAACCTTGCCAAGGGTTAAGGCAATCAACAACAGCCCTGCTAGGCATTATGTTATTAACTAAAGTATCTGGGTTCACCAAGTTTAGAATCTCCTTAGTCCACCCGCTTCTTTCTCTTTTCCTCTCTCCTTCGTCCTTTCCACACACTCCTCTTGCTAGCCTTTCTGTCCACCTCAGTGACTCCTTCAACTTGGACCTCCTCCCCTCACAACCTATCAGGTTGCAGGACCCCCCACGTCCATCCCCAACGGTCTGTAGGCATCTGAGGCTCAGCAGGGAGACGTGTCGCAATGGCCTCCCTCTCCAGGACAGAATCCTTTTCATGAGACAAAAACCTGAAACCAAATCCCTGCATTTGATGGCCGGGTGACTCAATAGCTGGGTTCAGATGTCACCGCAAACCCGGGTTGCATGGGAACCCTGGCTTGTTGTGTGCCAAGAGTGATCTTCTGACCCGCTCCCTCCTCCCTCTGGCTTGGCGAAACCGTGGTGAGATAAATCATAGACTTTTGCTTTCTGTGTCACGGCATGTGAACCCAAGAGAAGATTGCTTTCTGCTCTGATGTGTTCCTCCCCTACAAACCAGGGAAAGAAACCACAAGACTCCGTAGTCTTTCTCTAGTTTGGCCAAGGAAGGTCAAGCCAAACAGCCAGCTCCAGTGAGACTTCACACATTGTCATAAGCAAACCCTGGGTTGAAGGCACATGGTTCTTTCAACTACTCCTGTTCCAAGTGGGAGTTCAGCTGAACCTCCTGGCTCACCCTCAACGAGCTGAAATTGTCTTGCCTTCTTGTTATCTCCAAATCAGGGCCCAGAATGGTTGTATTTTATTTCTGCACTCATTCGTTCTCAGCACCCAAGGTACCTCCATCATTATCATTGCCCCAATTAAGCCATCAATTCATTGCATTGTGTATTGTTAACATGTTGTCACCACCCATGAGCCAAAAAAAAAAAAAGAAAGAAAGAAATGGAGAAATACTCTCTGGTTCCCTTTAGTGGCCAATGTTGATATTGCACCAAAAGACAGAACCAAACCATACTTCTTTTGCCACTTAAGATTGGGACAAGAAAGCCATAAGCCTGGGAAATTCCTTTCCAAACAGCTTCTTAAAATGCCCTTGTTCAAAAAGTAACCTTTAAAAAAAAGATATTACTTATCACACCTAAGTAACAAAGATATTCCTCATGCCACTAAATGGTATCTTGCCAACAACTAATTATTTTGCCACCAGGAAGTACATAGTTACAGTATAGGTAACTGTGTAATATGCAACCAGTTATTTAACACAGTGGTCCAAATGCACCCGATGTGCATGATTGTCACACATCCATTGATTATTTTGCCACCAGGAAGTACATAGTTACAGGTAACTGTGTGATATGCAACCAGTTATTTCTACACAGTGGTCCAAATGCACCTAATGTGCATGACTGTCACACATCCATTGATCTTTTGTACATTACAAATGTAGGTATAGCATGTTTCTGATTAGATTGTAAAACAAAGCTGTTTTGAAAAGGTAAAGTAACTTAAATGATGTTTTAACCTTTTAAAAAAAATAAAATGCCATTCACATGTAAAGACTTGGGTATAAGGTTGACTTCTCTACCTGCCCTTTCTCAATCTGTCCTCACCATAAGCCTGGCAAGTAGGTTAGCGGTTCCCAACCTTGGGTCACCCAGATGTTCTTGGACTGCAATTCCCAGAAGCCTTCACCCCTTGCTGTGCTGACCAGGATTTCTGGGAGTTGCAGTCCAAGAACATCTGGGTAACCCACGTTTGAGAACCACTGGGTTAGACCAAACGTGAGCAGCCTGCCCAGACCTTCTTGGCTTCAGGCTGAGGGCAGATTCAGACCGAGGTCTTCCTCATCTAGCTGTGTTCCTTTAAACAGGACCCCCAGATCAGGGCAACCTCGTTCTTTCTCTCCTGTTTCTTTCTTGACTTCCACTCACCCTCCAACGCGGCTTCCTCCTCCTCCTCTTCCTCAGTTCAACTTCTCCAGGGCTGTTTGCAAACCCAAATGGCGAATTTTGTTGAGAAGGAAGCTCCTCACCTCAGCTCCTTTCCATTACTGTTCGAAATGGTCTCTGAGAGGGAAGGCAAAGAACAAAATTGCTTTTCAGTCTTGGAAACTCGGTCGAATAACGAAACCACCACCCAGCTGTCAGTCTCCTGAAACCACCAGGCTCCTTCTAGTCTCTTCCATTGTCCAAGGTGCCAGAACCAAGCTTAGGTTTCATCACCAGAGTGGTTATCCTGAGGTCGCCCTGGAATCATAATGACACCTGGAAATGCTTGATTTAAGCATTCATGTCAGTTCCAGGCCATGTTCCCATATGCTCAAGGGCTCATTGCTGTTTACCAAGAATCGCATCGCAATCAAAAGGCTTATTTTTAATTAAAATTGATCCTGATAAAATCACAAAAAAGCTGAACGCGTAATAGAAATAGAACAGTAGCAAAAACGACAACAATATTATCATAAATAGGCTTCTTATTTCTTGGCACTGCTCATTCTCGGGGGGCAGATCCGAGAGTCAAAATTAAATATTAGTCCTAAAAATCTGCAGAGGAGCAACATCTCCATAACTTTTTATTTTAAAATCAATCAATCAATCAATCTTTGGAAAATCATTGATTTTCAAATTTCGGAAAGCAAATTGGCTTCGATTGGCAATTGTTCTAAATGGGTTGCTGAAAAAAAAATAAAAATTATTTTAACAATTTATTAAATAATTATAAGGATTATTATTAATCATCACACTTATTCTCAGCATTCCCAGTACATGGGAGCTGACCAAAAGAGCAACCCTAAAAGTCTAGAAGTCAAGTTCTAATTTTACTAAATTTAAACCTCAGAATTTCAAGAAACCACCAGTGGTGCATGGAACTGAATGCCTTTTGATAATTAAGAGTGGCCTTAACTGACCAGATAGGCGGGATATAAATAAAATAAATAAATAAATCAACGCAAGCAACGGATTATTTTCGGGAGTTGCTTTAAGCCTCATTAAATATGAAGGAATCAACAGTGAAAGTCCCTTGCAATGCTAAGATTTCTTAGCATTAAAAAAACTGCAAACATTCTGGGGAAACAATCAGTGTAAACACCTTGTAAACTGTGGGGAAAGAAGACTGAAGGGAGATAGGAGAGCACTTTTCAAAGACTTGAAAGGCTGCCCTATAGAGGAGGGGCAGGATCTGTTCTCGATCCTCCCAGAGTACAGGACATGCCACAATGGGCTCAAGTTACAGGAAGCCAGATTTATGCTGAATATCAGGAAAAACCTCTTAACTGCTAGAGTAGTACAACAATGGAACCAATGGCCTCGGGAGGTGGCGAGCACTCCAACACTGGAGGTATTAAAGAGGAAACTGGATAAACCTCTGTCTGATCTGCTTTGATTTGG